TCCAAGGCTGTACCACATTCCTGTCGGTCTGGCTGCCCCAAGCCAGACTCTGAGTGGACCCGGAGGTTTGAGTCATCCCTGTAATCCCTGCTAGAATTCCACAGGGGACAGGAGAGGCAGACAAAGAAGGGTCAGAGATCTGACCACACCCCAAAGCATTAACATCTGCTTTATCTACATGCAAAGAGCTGGCTGAGGTCACACAGCCAGACAGGGCACTTTCATGCCTCATGCAGGTCACCAGAGTCTGGGGCCAGGGGATGAAGGTGAGGCAGTGCTGGGTCAGGTCTCACTGCAGGAGGCCAGCTGCCCCCGAGGGGTGGGAGGCAATTCAGACAGACCTTCAGTCTGGCCCTGCAAGGCCAGGCCAGGTAGGGAGTGACTGATATAGTCAAGTCTTGGGGGAGAGCTGTCTGCAGATTCCACTTCTCCTTCTGATTCCCAGGGCCACATGTGCACAAGGGCAGAATTCACGCCTTCCCCTCAGCACCCCCTGCTGGAGCTTCCCAGAAAGCAATCCTTGTGGACCTCATCAATAGGACAGTAGGTGGTCCTGCTTCCCCAACTGGGCCTCGGACTCTTCCCCCAGGGGTCAGCTAAGGCTGTTTCTGTGTCTTAACCAGATTTCAGCCCCTAGTAAGCCCTCCACCAGCCCCTCACCAGCTGTCAGCTGTCCCCCTCATCCTTGGGGCCCTGGGTGGAGATGGTGCAGGACCTGCCCACCAGGGAAGGGCTCTGTTCCTTGAATTGCCCAGTATCTGCCCACACCCTGATAAATATGCCTCTCCACACCTCCCACATGCCCTGCCCAAGAAGAGAGCCATGTCCTCCTGGAGGCAGACCGGCCAGCTCCCAGCTCACTTTGCCTCCTATGGAATCTCTTCAGAGCTGGCCTACACCTTAGCCAGCATCCAGGTGTCCCACAGACAGCCTCTGAAGAGCAGCACTGGAATGCAGACCACAGAAATAGTGCCTACAGACTATGGATGCCCAGGTCACAGAAATCTCAGTGCTGCTCCCACCACACAGACCTGTGAGCAGGTAAGGGGTGTCCAGGCCCCAGTCCAGAGCACCCAGGAACAGCCAGCTTTCAGATAGAGCTGTGGGACTGGAAGCTCCATGGTAGCTCTCCTCTCCCTCCTACACCTATCCCATGCCCCAGCAATGGAAGGAGGGAGTCAATCCTTACCTCTCCAGTGGGCAGCCTGGCTACCGATAATAGTCATCAGGAAATGCCTCCTCCAAGCCTCAGAGCACAGACTGTAGCCCAGGACTGCAGCCTTGTCCTCACACAGCATGAGGTGGTCTTTGAGGAGAGTTAAGTTCCTGGTTTGGGCACTGTTCTACTCAAGGATGTTGGAAGAAGGGTGTTGGCCTAGGTGATAGGCCATGGCTTTCTGCTGGCTCTTTGAGGTTGGCCTTGCGCTGTTCATCTGTCCTTGGGTGACAAACCTCCCATGTTGTGGGGAGGGGGATGAGAATTCCCTGAGCCACTTCAGGGGCCAACCTGATGGCACTCAGTGACCAGTATCCAATGAAGACGTGGTCGTGAATGCCTGTTCCGGTTCCACCTCATCTCCCAGGTGGCTGGAAACTGAACTCACTTTTCAGTGACCTGAAAATCCAAGACCGGGACAAGGCAGGCATAGGTGTGGTTGGGGACACAGAGCAGCCAAGGCAGGACTGAGCAGGGTAGCCTCCGCTCTAGCCACAAGGCCAGTCCATTTGCAGCCACCTCAGTGGCCTCCACCCCGAAGGGTATATCATGTATACTTGGTGCTTTCCCTAGTGAGGCAGGAAAGATTATGAGTCCTACCCAGCTCCTGGCTGGATCGCGTGCAGGACAAACAGACAATGGCCTGGCAGCCAGCTGAAGTCCCCAAGAATACACTTAAGAACTCCAGGCAGAGTACCCAAGCAGCAGTGAGAGATTGTGTGTGTGTATGTGTGTGTGTGTTCCGTGAGGTGGGGGGGGTGCTTTTAGGATTATTGGCCTTATATTGGTCTGGGTTGGTGAAAAGTGGGTCCAGAGGAGTCTTCAGACTCTAATCTTCATCGCAAAAAGGAGAGACACGGGAGCCTGTGCAGAGACAGGGGAAGACAAGGCCCAAGTGTCTTCCCTGGGACAGGGGGCTAGAGAGGGTTACAAAGCTGGGTAGGCGAGCACTACTGCACTGTTAAGCCTCTCCTCTCAGTTTGCTTACCGCGTCTCCGAGGACAGACCTCCCTCAAGCGAAGAGATTTAAGGGGCAAGCAGGAGGCGAGCCACTCAAAGGCCTGCTGCGCCCCTCCGATGCCCAGGACTACCTTCGGGACTCGGCCAAGCTGGGCCGCCACGCCCTCGAGCCCGCGCCCACGGCCCGTTCCGGGACGCTGTGCCTGCGGTCGCCTGCAGGGGCCGCCGCCTCTTCAGGAATGCGCCGCCTTTGTCTGGGGCAGCGCGTGGCCCGTGCACCGGGTGGCTGAGCGCCTCCTGCCACCTGGACCGCACGCCGGGCACCCTCGCCTCCCCTCCCACCGCCCGCCGGCTGGTCCTGCACCCGGTACCCACCGGTTCGCGCCCGCGCCGCGCGCCCAGGTGAGCGCCCCGCCCGGCGTCAGGCCCCGCCCCGGCCCCGCCCCGCCCGGGCCGGCGGGGAGACCGGGCGGATTCCGCGCGTCAAACCACATGATCCCATAAAACATTCATCCTCTCCCGGCCCGCGCTGCGAGCGCCCCGCCAGTCCACGCCGCCGCCCTTGCCCTGCGCGCCCGCAGCCCGGAGCCCAGCCCGGCCCGGTAGAGCGGAGCGCCCGAGCCTCGTCCCGCGGCCGGGCCGGGACCTGGCCGGAGCGGCGGCGCCTGGATGCGGACCCGGCCGCGCGCAGACGGGCGCCCGCCCCGAAGCCGCTTTCAGTGCCCGACGCGCCCCGCTCGACCCCGAAGATGAAGAGGGCGTCCTCCGGAGGTGAGTGTCCGCGCCGCTCCAGAGTCGGGCTGCAGCGGGGCGGCGAGAGAGAGGGCACGGCCCGCGCTACCGGAGCCGGGGACCGGTCGCGGGGCGCTCCCGAGGGCCACCGCAGTGCCACGCCGCGCGCTGGCCGCTAGCTACTGGGCCCCGAGAGGGCGGAGCCCGCGGCAGCCGCAAAAGTTGCGGCTTTGCGGGAAAGTTGACGGCGACGGCGGGGCCAGGGATGGCGGGTCGGAGGTTCCAGATGTTGGACCAGGGTCGGGTGGAGGCTGCGGACTGGAAGGGCGGGGTCCCACCTGCGAGTGCACAGGCGGCGAATGGGTTAATAAGCGGGGTTTGCAGAAACGTGGACACCGGACCGAGATGGGGTATCTCGCCTGCCCGGCGGACTCTGCTCAGAAGCTGTTTCTTTGGGGTCAAAGAAATAGGGATGAATAGGGGTGTTGGCGGCAGCAGAGGGCGTGGGGGACAGGGCAATCCCAGCGCTGTCACTGGGGCAGGTAGCAAGGAGGACACACACACACACACACACACACACACACACACACACACACACACACACAAAGCAGTGCCTCCTCTGAGATCGGGAGGGCTCCTGAGAGTGAGAGGCTCCATTGAGGGGCGTTGGTGCTCGAAGCACCCTCTCCCTGGCAGCCCTATGGGATCCCTCCTCCCATCCGGGTGCAAAGTCCCCGCAGCAGGGACAAGGGAGGTTGGGCTTCGTGTAGGTTGGACATGACTTACCTGGAGAATCTGGAGTGGAGTGAACACATTGCCTTCCCAGGTGCCCACCCTATCTACCCTGCTGATGTCCATGGTGCCGCAGGCTGCACACACGTTTCTTTGCACGTGTCTATGTGGGCTACATATAGCCTTGCACACCTCCAATGCACACTCGTACCAAATCTGCCCTAGGGTGCACATGGGTAAACACTATGGTTACACACATGGACTCCAAGGGTGCATATCCCTGTTCTCGCTCCTGCCAACATGCCTGTGACCACACATGCATTTACGCAGTCTGCCTGCTGTGATCTTCATGCTTAGTACACGCTGGGGCCCCTTACCAGGACCCACTCACATGTAGATAATGCTCAGGTTTTGAGGAGGGAGGCTCTGGGTAGTTGGACCCACAGACAGAGGGACAAGTCCTGGAGTCCCCTTCCCAGTGCTCGGGTCTGTATGTGCAAGTATGTGTGTGTGTAGCATGGTATGTATTTGCACATATGTGACTGTGTGCATGACCACATGTGCCTGTAAGCACATCTGCATGTTTTAGTTTGCCTCTGGGTGTGGGTGCCTATACCCTGCCCAAATCGGGAATGTGTTGAGGGGTTTTGTTCAGTGTCCCCAGTCCAAGCTGTGAGGTTCAGAATCTCCCAGCCAGGGTGAAGGCAGTGGTGGCCTGGAATCTACCTGGACAGCTTGAGGTCAACACCACAGTAGAGGGGCACGAGCCTGAGCATACTTGGCTGCCTGCAGCTCCGCCAGCTGGGGCATCTGACCCATCATGGCCTCCCGGACGCCCTGCCTTTAGCACATGAGTTGTTCCATCCTGGTGACCTTCTGGAACACTGCTCTGTGGTGCTCGCCTAGCTCAGGTGTGTGGGTACCAGCTGGCCTCTCCCTTCCTTACGTCCAGCCTTGTCTTCCCATCTCTCTTGTCCTACGCCAGGCCAGGGGAGGAAGGTGTGTTTCCATGGCAGGACCTCAGTCAGGTGTGGTCTGAGCCAGATCCCTCCTGGCAAAGGGGAGCTTACCGGGCCTGCCAGTGCGTCTTCTTAAAGAGCTTTCTCCCTGTCTCAGCCACCCGTAATCTGAGGCTGTTGGGGGCATTTCCAAGCTGATGCCCAGTGGGGTCTGTCCACATTTCCCATGGAGGTGGCTTTGTTTGTTTGTTTTAATTTTTTCATACTATATATTTTTATTATTTTCTTTTCCCTTCCCAATCCTCCCACACCCTCCCCACCTCCCTACCCACCCAGCTTCATGTTCTCTCTTTTTCAAGCAAAATAAAACAAAACCCAAGAAAAACAACAAAAACCAAAACGGACAAAAGAAAGAAAAAGATCAGTAAGACAAAAATACAAAAAGAACTCCAAAAAAGGTCCATTTTGTGTTAGTCAGTTAGCCCTGGGCATGGGGCCTGATCTGGATTGAGACAGGGTCTCACTGTGGTCCTGGCTGGCCTGGACTCTTTATGTAAAACAGGATGGCCTTGATCTCAGAGATCCACCCGAGTGCTGGGATTAACGGCATGTGCCACATACCCTGCACCAAGAAGCTTTTATTGTTGTTTTGTTCCGAGGCAGGTGTAACCACAGAGCGGAGGCTGGCCTTACACTTGAGGTCACCTCAGCTTCCCAAGTACTGGAAATGCTGGTCTCAGTCTCCAAACCTTGCTTTCCTAGGAGTTTTTGGCCGCCAGCATTTCTGCTTTAAAAGTCCCCAAATATGCTTTTTCAACTCCTAGTCAATAGGGGTTTTCCTGGGACTCCTGCCAATTTAGGCCCCTCCTTCACCCTGGAAGATCTGTTGGGATATTGAGGGAGGTTGTGAGCAGAGAGCATGATGGTGATAAGCCTGTGACTCTGCCCTGTACCAACCAGAGCCTGGTAGGACTGATATGTGGTTGCAGAAGATGAGACATGTCCTCTAACACGAGGACAAGAGGAGGAGAACCTCAGGGCTGGCCCAGGGCCCTTCCTGGAAGGTGGTCCTAGCCCGCTATCTTGGAAGGTTAAGGCTGGCTCACTGGCTGGGAAGAAGCCCGGGTTGCTCGCTGGCTGGGAAGAAGCCCGGGTTTGCTGCTGTTTGTTGTAAGTGGTAAGTTGCCTGGGAGGTGTAGGGCTGTGGGTCATGCCTCCCTCTTGCCATCCAGGCTGGCTTCTAGCACCTTTGCTTGCCAGCCTCTTGGTACCATACCCTCCGTGGGGGAGGATGGCTTCAGCTGGGAAAGAGGCACAGGGAGCCCTTCTGGGGGTTATGGCCTAGAAACTCTCCCAGCAGGCTTTGCATCCATGAAAGGGGTCGGGAGAAGGGTGTGTGTGTGTCTGTGTCTCTGTGTGTGTGTGTGTCTGTGTCTGTGTGTGTGTGTGTCTCTGTGTGTGTGTGTGTCTGTGTCTCTGTGTATGTGTGTCTGTGTCTCTGTGTGTGTGTGTGTGTGTGTGTGTGTGTGTGTGTGTGTGTGTGTGTGTGTAGTGGAAGAAGTGTATGAGAAGGACCTGACCCTCTAGAGTTACCAAGGCTCCTGGCACTGCGTTGTGCCTGCCTGGTCAGTGAAGTTCATGCTGTTCAACCCCCATTCTGTGCGCCCCGACTTTCAACCCTAGGCAGGGATGCCTAACTCTCAGCAGCCAACCAGGCCCTGTGCCCTCAGATCCATAAGAGCCAGTATGGCTGTTCTGCCCGTCGCTTTAGGCCTGGCACCTTCTTCACTTAGTATGCCTGCCCTGTGGTCTGGCTACAAGCAGCCAAGGTCACCTGTGCCGTCCACGTGGCCAAATCCCAGATGCCACAGTTGCTCTCACCCTCCATCTCTCACTCGACCACTTGTGGCCTGCAGATCCTACTCTGATCAGACGATGAAGGGGCGAGTCCTTACCTTATTGATCCCAGGGTTAGACGTGTCCAAGGATGGGTGACCACACCGCCATCAGTGGGAGCCTAGCAGTAGGTAGGGGGACATGTCCCCCGTCTCCCTCCCTGTCCCCAGAGTGCGTGGGCTTGGCTAGTCCCATCACACCCGGTGTTTGGTACTGCAGTTTCTTCTTTTGTCGCTGTATTTTAAACACTTTGCACATCGGGAACTATTCTTGTGAATCATACTTAAACGGTGAGTGTGGAATCCCTTCCTGAGAATGCACCCAAATGTGTTCATTTAAACCTGCCTTGGCCTTTTGCATTGCCTTCAGCCATATGACTGGCCATATACATCCCGACAAGTCCTCATCAGGACCAGGGTGTGTGCCCCTTCCTACACACTTGGGCCAGCTTCCAGTCAGGGCCTAATTCTGCCCCGCCCCGCCCCACCCCCAACCACCTGAGTCTTTTTTCATGTCAGGCCGATGACATGGGAAGTGGGCCAGGATTCCAGCTGTAAGGGTGGCCATCTCTTCAGCTGACCCCTTGGGACCACCTGTCTCCAGCCCTGACCTGGAAAGGCAGAGGCTGAGGTGGTTGAGGTGTCCGCATGCACCCCCATAATCTTCCCCCGAGGCGGCCAGACCCAGCGAGTGGAGGTAAGAAGTGGGAGCTGTTGGCACACCTCCCACGTGTCTTGGGGAGGTTCCGAGCAGGCAGAAGCCGGCCTCCCTATGTTGACCCAGGTGGGTCTAGCAGACAGTAAGCCCCGCTCAGCACATGGAGGTTGGCAGAGGCCGGATGTGGCACAGCCTCGCAGGGAGCAGCTTGCCCGAGAGTTTTCTTTGGCCCTCCTGGGAACTGGAGTCTCGTGGAGTGCTGTTGAATTCCAGACAAAGGTTTTATGGTAGATCTGGAGTAGGCTGGGCTAAGGTGCTCATGTGGCATTCCCCGCAGGGCATCTCAGGGCCTTGGTTTCAGATGGGGCCGGCATCTCCAACAGTCAAAGTGTGCAACAAACTCCACGGCCTGGTGTACTCAAGAAGCCATTTGGGGAAATAGTGATGGGGTTCCTCGAAGGGGTGGAGGGGTCAGGGGGATGGGTAGGCCGTCCCACACCAAGCTCCACCCATGGGGCACCTGCTGGATGGAAGGACAGGTTTCTCCTGGCATTGTAAGGCAATGTGCAAATTTAACCTTTGGATTTATGACTCTATTTCTTTGCAGCAAATGTCACGGGAAATGTCAGGCAAAGGCTGAAGCTGGGTGAGGGGCCCACTGAGGTAGGGGGTGGGGCTGAACATGTTACAGTGCTGGGGTCTCAGACCACAGTGAGGCTCTTGGGCGCTCACTGCCTCCTGGGAGCCCTCTCAGATTGCCCCTGACCTGCCTGCAATCCTCTACACTGCGTCCTCGATTTGTCCCAGCTATTGTGACCTTGTTAAGATGGTGGCTCTTTTCACCCTCCTGCCAGGGCCCAGATGGGGCCAGCTTGGGAGCCTGCCAGGAGCTCCCCCTCCCCGAGTCCAGGCAGCCGTGTGATCAGCCCAGGCAGTGTTGCTTGCTGTGCGACCTTGGGCCTCGCCACTCTTGGCTGGTCACTGAGGTGTCATCTGTAATCCGTGACTGTTTTCCAGAGGTGGTACTTCCAGCTTAGTGTCCCGAGGGCCAAGAAAACACAGTCCTCCTCAATATGAGGGTGCTGTTCTCCGGGGGAGAGGGTGGGTGGCATCACTTGGCAGCTGGGCCAGGAGCAGGCCTGCACACAGTAGGTACACAAGAAAGAGCGAAACACGGATGGAAAGCAGGAAAAGGGGGACAACATCTGGGAATCCACAGCCTCCGCTCTCGTGTGCCCCACCCCACCCCGTGTCCAGTCCAGCGCAACCTGCCCTGGCAGTAGTTAATGCACAACAGTGGCCTCCTTGCCAAGCGCCAGGCTAGTGCTGCGATTAGAGGTCTTCAGTGTCCGAGACCACTTAGCCTGCGCCCATCTCAGCCAGTTAGCCTGCCCCGTAGTAGGGTCACCACCTTGAACATCTCCTTGGTGATGCAGGGGTGGATAGACAGGCACCTGGGCACTTGCTCACACCAGTGAGGCCACTCATCTTTGCTGATACCCAGCTGCCTCCCAGCTGATGCCACAGTTCCCCAGCTGTGTTCCCCTGAGCATCCCAGGTTCCCCAGATTCAGCCAATGGTGTCATATCCTCTGCCCAGAGTCTGTGCCTCCTCCTCCTCGTCCCCAAAGTCAAGTCCAGTGTCCAGTCTGACCTCTTGTCTAGTCCCTTCTAGCCCTCACTGCAAGCCCATCTTAGAGCCACCCCGCCCTGGCCTATAGGTGTAGGTGCCCTCCATGCCACTCAGGCTGTCTGCTTGCCATGGTAGCCTCTGAGCTACCTGAAGTTCCCCCAGCTGCCCCTAACCTGGCTCATTTGCTCTCTCGGTGGGCTAGAGAGCTTGTGTGTAAACCATCTCTTTCACCCTTGATGGGGGACCCTGGTGCCACCTGGACTCCAGGTGCCCACTCCACCATCTCCACATCCTCCAGGCATCCCCACCCTGGCATGAAGGTTTAGGGAGCATGAGCAGTGGCCAGCCACACCAGAAAATAGTTGCAGAGGATGGTCCAGCAGGCTGCTGGGTATCAGCAAAGAGGAACATTCTTTCTCGCCGCCTGCTTGCCCCTATCTGTTGGGAAATACCCAAGCTGGTGGCCCTTAGGACGGGCATTCGGGCAGCCTCGTTGGCCAAGATGGCTGCGGGCAAAGGCTCCAGAAGCCAAAGTCGGATGCTGGCTCCTGAGCTCCCCTGCTGGCATGCGGATAATGTGAAGGTGACACGCGGGCGAAAGCCAGCTGGCCACAGGGAGCTTGATCTGGCCGTGCTGGCCGGTTCCCTGTCATCTGGATGATGGGACTCCTCCCGGCAGGCTGCAACGCTCATGTGCCTCCAGCATGGACCGGGGGAACTGGCTGTGGAAACTGAGGTGGGTGATAGCGTTGGAGCCCTTAGTGGGAGACAAAGTCCCCAATCCTGTACTTCCTCTACTCTTGATCGGGGCCACCTACCCTTGCCCCGCACCCAGACAGAAAGTGGGAGTAGGTGTGTGGGCCCTGTGGGTTTCTGATCCCAAGTCTGTGCATAGCACTGAGGGTACCGGAAGAGCCCCCATCCTCCCCCCAGCCTGTTTGCCAAAGGAGTCTTCACCAGTTGTCTTGAGGGGTCTAGTTCACGGTCACTGGTATACTCACCCCAGGCATGTCCAGCAGCTGGGGAATACAGAGAGAGGCTAGACTTTCCACTGGGGGTAGGATGTCTTCGTACCTTTGGGAAATGTGAGGTGCAGCTTGGCCCTGGGCAGGAGCCTGGCCATAGCAGCTTGGCTGACTGAGGAGTAGCCCCTCCTTTATTTGGGGGCTCTCGTGCCTCCACTCAGCTGGCAGAATGTGAGAGGGGGTGCTTGCGTTCCTACTTGGTCCTTGGAAGAAGTCCAGGCAATGGACCCCAAAACTGTGACTGGAAACAGAATTCCATAGAAAGACAGGGTAGCTTCTATCCTGAGCCTGGCCAGCCTCCAGAATGGCAGTACAGAGAGGGCTACAGGCCAGCCCAAGGTCACCCAGAATGTGCCACTTACAGTGCTCATGGCTACTTCTGCCTCCACGCTGCCCTGACCAGCGGCTTCCTTTCATGGATCTCTGTCATGCCCCCGACAGTCTCTCACTTTTCACCTGCTGTGTCCAGCATTCCCTTCCTCAGACAGTTCAGAGTGGGCTTGTGCCCCCTCCCCCATGGGACCCTGGCAGGGCTGTAGACACAAACTTTCACCACTGTCTGAGGAAGTAGCAGGACTGTTGGTGTTCTCCACCAAGACTGTGCCTTGGTTACCTGCACGGTCCTGAGGGCTGTGATCCTGGGTGTGCCTGGTCCTCTGGGAGAGCCCTAACCCTGTCCTTGGTAAAGCTGATGGCCCTGGGCTGCCCACATGGTGAGGAGGCTGGGCTCTGGGTAGGCTCCCATTGCAGGAAGGCCTCCGGGTACATTGGTCTCTCCCTCTTTTCTCTCACCGAAGTCTTCCTGGTGTCACCAGGTAGAGGCCGGCCCTGTGCTGGGCAGTGGGGACCTTGAGATCTTTGTAACATCTTTTCTCCCCAAGTCATCCCAGGTTCCATGGAGATGTCCTCAAATCTCAAGGGAGAAAGGTGTGGTGTGGGTGACAAGAGAACGGACAGGGACCCTAAG